TTTGGAATAATACACCTCAGTCTCTTCACAAGGTAGTCTGTATGGGTATCCCATTTTAAGTGTTTGTCCAAAATCACGCCTAAGTATTTTATTTTATCGGCTGACTGAATCTCTTTGAGACCACTGCTTGTATGAATTTCAAGTTTTTTAAATTGTGGTGAGAGCCTGTCGTTATACGTATATATTATATAATATATTTTGAATACAAATATTATAACGACTGTTTCAGAAAAAATTGAAGCAAATTGCAAAAATAGATGCTTGATTGCAAGGATGAAAGTAAATGAAGGAAAACCAAATAATTATTCAGAATAGAAATACCATTTACGTAAGTAACTGTTTGTGTATGGTGTTTATGAAGCCGCTTCAAATGATGTAGAAAACAGTAAAACTGATCCTAGGATGACAGTTTGCCACCACTCACGCTGATAAAATAGCTTAAAGCTGTATCCATCTTTTCGTATTTTTTAATACAATAGATACACACCATCATTAACCGTTTCAGAGAAAAATAAACAACAAGTGTACTAAAAAGACCGAGGATCAGTTGTAAGAAGAGCATTCAATATTATATTACATCCAAATATCAGTGCGTAAAGATGAAAACTGGACACATTTTGCTAGGACAACTGTGTAAGACAACTGCTTTATCGACATGACAAAAGTTTAGGTAAGCCAACTGTGAGAGATATACCATTAAGCATATTTGGGATATAGGCTCGTTTTATGAAAATATTAGGGAGCGTCAAAGTAACATTGGCTTTGGAATCGAAGAATCCAATTTACTCAAGAAATGGCCCTTCGGATCACAGAGAACCACTGGTTTTGTTGTCTATGATACTATATTGAAATCCTAACTTCGGTCTCCCATCCTAACCTTGTCGAACTCCGTTACATCCAGATCTGGCCGATACGACCGCTCCTGTGTCCCCAGGGTATTGAGATTGTGTAACAATCTACCTGAGGAGGCTTTTCCCAACTCTACTAAAATCGTATTAATAGTTTTTTAAGCAACTCATAGCAGCCGCGGTGCCCTGGTATTTAGGCTTCAACCTATGAGGCTGCTGAGGTGCATGCGACCCTCCTCCTGTCGCCATTTACGCTGCTCATATGATGCTTAGGCTTGGCAGATACACTATCACAAACAGTTATATCATGTCAATGATCGCCCCCTCTCCTGAGACAAATGCCTGCGGGTGCCCATGTGTACATGCAAGCGTACGCGCACAGAGGCAGATTGTTTATGAAATTGTAGGAGGTAGATGTATTAAAGGGATACAAGTAATTTTAGTGTGACCCGCCAAAAACCATGAAATGAACTTTATAGTTAACTTATAATGTGTTTTGATTTCCAGGTTGCTGAGTATCAAGTGCATACTCCACGGCTTAAATAGTTTGGAGCGTTTGCTGTGATTTAAATCAGCTAGTGCTCAAGCTATTCTATTCAGTGATGTAAACGTGCAACATACAAAAGAATAAAGGAGCGGAAAAAAGAATAGGCAATAATGAACAGGACAACAACCGATGTGTATACGAAGTATTGCGTTATGTTGGTCTGACTGTATTTTGGATTAGTGAGACCCTCATAGGCAGTAATTCGTCACAGAAATGGCAGAATGTTAACAACGATTTTGAAAATTCAGTTATCCACAATTCCTGAACTATAAAAACCAACAATGAAATTTCATAGGTATAGCCAGCGCCATCTGTGATTGAACAACAAACTACAATATAGTTAAAATGGTTCACATCAGATGTCGCCAGTATGTCGTAGTAGAAGTAGTTTCCTGTGTTAGGGATCAGGATTCAAGAAAATTGGGACATCGTTGGGAAGGTTATGGCACAAAACATATACACTGAAGAAGGTTTAGTCACGTGCTTCGTGCTATTCACAGGGCAACACGGTTGATTTATGTCAGTCAATCGCCCTTGTTTCTGGATGCCACGTGGTTGCCAGATTGTACAACAATACCGCATGCGACGTTGCCGGCTCTGCATAAATCTGAGGATGTATAATTTTATACCGCGTGTTTTTAATGATAAGATTTTATAACGCCATTTTTGCTGTTTTGACAAATAAGTAGTCACTCATTTGTTGAAGCAGCATCGTCAATAACACAGGTCATTATAAAATCGTTCATATACCCTAGTTAAGTATTTGAAATTTTGAGAACAGTAAAAAATCTATATTTGAAAATATAATTTTATATAAATTTTATATTGTATGAACATATGAATATAATATTTATCGTCCAAATATTTTCATTCCCGGTGATGGTCTTCCGCAGCACCTGCAAGTAAAAATTGGGAGAATTAATGGTGAAATAAATTATTTTCAAAAAGAAATAATAGTTATTGTTAATGACTGAAAGTTTACTAGAGTTAGCAGATTTTTCATAAGAATTGAGCCGTTTTCCACAAAAACAACACATGTCTAAAATACAAAATTTTCAAGAAACAGAAAAAACGATTTATTTCAAAACTATAATAATTGTCTTGAATAATTTTTGTTAATTAGTATTAATAATAGCTTAAAAAATATGCTCTCCACTAAAAAAATATGTGTACTTAAAGAAATCAAAAACAATCCTTTTTTGTACTAGATGGTGTCACTAACTCAATTTCGTTAAATTTGGACTTGGGGTTTTTATAAAACACGCCTCACTTATAATACAGGAATATCTAGTCACAGTTCCATAACATTTATAATCAGAATGTAAAAGTTTTATGGAAAATATGATTATACAGGGTGACTTTGAAGTTGAGTCATTAATTTTCAGATAATGATTGTAGAAGGAAGATAAACCAAAATATGTGTGTAAAAATAAAAAAAAAATAAAAAAAAATGTTTACCTTGTTTTATAAAGTATCCTCCCAACAAGTATTTCAGTGCGGACCTGTATTTGATCGTGAGGTGCCCTGTGAGGTCTTAAGTCACCTGATTCACGAGCCCGTTGTACTACATTAACAAAGGCACGAGGGGTTGGTTGCACTCGATTGGGAAACCGATCCGCATAAACATGTGCCATTTTTTATTTCGTTTGAGCCACGCAACAGACACTATTCACACGCGACTGACACTGACTGTATGTATAACTGAACTGAATGAAATAAAAACATCGTTCCAAATTATTTCGCTTTTTTGTTTCCCATGCGATGAACCGATAGGTGGATTATATCCGTTGTTGCCAAACACGAGTACATGATATTATTATTGAGACAGGGCGGTACTCAAACTTCCAAAGGGCTATAACTTTGTTACTTTAATTTTACCAGAAAAATGGTAAAGGAAAAAAACATTTCTTTTGATCAGATCTACTCACTGTTAAAATAAATGACTCAACTTCGAAGTCACCCTGTATATGTATATAGAATTTTCACAGCATCGTTAAAATATATCATACTTCGTATAAGATTTTATATGATTCAAACATGTTGACTATATATATATATATATTATCAGAATATCTGACTTTCGATTCACGTTTATCACCTTCTTTTTAAGCTATAAATATTTAAAAACGTAACAAAACAACTACAGAATACCAATATTAACAGAGAAGCTTTACAAATCACTCAATTTGACATAAACTTACATCAGGCTTGATTGTGAAACACATTAGTCATTGTTGTGAAGCACTCAATTATAGGCCCTGGAGAGAAAACAGTAGCAAGTAATCTATTCTATATTCTATCTGTCTCTGATCACCATGGGTTGGCAGTGGAATGAGTAACACTTTTATCAAATAGGGTTACTTCATATTTCGACTTCGAATGCCTTTTTGTTATTGTAGATTGAGAATGATACTGATAATCTGATAAAATATAAACTAGTCGAAGTAAACCCTACCAAAAAGGTGTGCGGCCTTTAAGAGAATGCAGAGCATATGAAAAAAGGGGTCGCCGCGCAGGATGCTAACACGACTTGTTAAAGATGTTCCCTCCACCTCAAGTTGGCAACCATTCGAATTCATTCAGAGTGACTCAACTTACGAAGAATCTAAAGCGCTGAATATCCACTGCTTGAAGATTATACTGCATCTGTAGCAGGTGACCATGACACAAAAATTAAACAAAAAAAGTAAATCTCGCATTTCTATGCTTGTATCTGTAATGTAAGCCATTACCTGGGTCTTGTTAAGTTTTCTTCGTTTACATTCATTAATGAGTCTATAGAAGAAGTTAGGATCCTCTACTACATCTAAATTTGGAGAACTTTTACTTTCCTTACTGAAATCGTTCGTTTTGTGGCGTTTTTCTGCGTTCTTTTGGGTGTGGATTAAAATACTCGTTTCTACAAAGAGAAATGCACTAATTTAATACACAACACAACCAACTTTAACTTAACTAGATAGAACATTTATGTACAACACTATTTATGTCTGACTACTTATTTATGAATTATTATGTCGCGCCATTCACTCAACTCTACTTCCCTCTTCCGGCCGTCGGCTAATATATTCCGCATCGCAGGTACTCGTTAATTCCATAAAGTTCCTGTACGCCACATAGCGGGCAATCCAGAATCTTCGAGGTCAGTCTCGCACCTCGCCTCGATGCCGAAGGAGAGTCCCTGTCGAAGTTCCCAACAGATGGGCTAGTAGAACCATTCATTCTTGTTACACTGCCCCTCCCTAAAGTCATGATCTTACTGGTGGTGGAGTTCGATATCGGCACGACTGCCCTTTCTTACAGTAGGAGTTCTTGAAGAAGTAACAATCCACACTCTTTCCAGGAGGTAGCCGTCTAGGACTGTGACAACATACCAGAAATCGAATGCCTGTATACCGGAAGACTACCTCAGGCATGCTTCGGATGATTCTCCAGTCCAATTTGTGCAGTCCACATCCCAGCTTAGGTATTGCCAGTTTTCTCAGGTCCTCGGCAAGCAACCCTTCTCTAAGAGAACTCAAAGCGCTCCAGACATCCTGGTAATTCGGTTTCTGATACGAAGCTTTCTTGATAACCAGATAGAAGATCTTTCGGTTGGTACCCTCTTCAGTTCTTCTCCGACTTCCGGGTTAGATAGACGCAGCTCGGGCACTCTTACTAACTTCCTGAGAAAGACCTTTGCTATACCTCTCGACATTTGCAAGTCTTGAGCCACACAGTGTGCCAGGGCATACTCTGGTGAAGTGGTAAACAGATCTTGCTGTTCTTTACATGTCACGCCATACCGACTCTTATGGCCATTAGCATGGTGGACGATAAATTGGTCAAATGTCATGTCCGGTTCTGGTTAGATTTGCCGCATCTTCGTTGTTTCCATAAGGGGCAAGTCGGTTGAAATGTACAATTCGGGCTTTACCGCGTGGTGCCTTCTGAATCCTGTAGAGAACATCGTTGATGGCTTCCAGAACTTGATATGGCCCGTCCCAGGATGATTTAAGTTTAAGCGACAGCTCTTTTCGCTTCCTGGAGTCGTAAAGCCAAACCGTATCACCGTTGTTATACCTCTGGTCTTTGGCATTAACGTCATAAGCTTCCTTCATCCGGTCGCTGGCACCTTGACTTGAAACACGAACCTGGCTATGGATGACGTCCATTCTTCTACGCAGATCACTTACGTAGTCTTCTCCGGCAATATCAGTTCCTGGTGGACAGCCAAACTTTAGATCGCATGGGAGACGAAGTTCTCTTCCCATAACTAGTCGAGCCGGGGTCTCACCTGTGGTTTCATGAATCGACGATCGGTAATCCAGTAAGAAGAGGTGAAGAAAACTATCCCAGTCTCTTTGATGGCTGGAGACTACCTTAGCCAAATACCGGTTAATGGTCCTATTCATGCGCTCGACCATTCCTTATGACTGCGGGTGTAAGGCAGTAGTCCTGGTCTTTTTAATCCCAAGGAGCGTATGCGTCAACCTACTTGCTGAAGTAATCCATTACCACAGTGATGTATTTATTCCCTGCATCACTTTCTGGAAATGATCCCGCCACATCAATAGCATCAAAGCTTTTGGTGTCCTTTGCGGTCCATTACTTGCCGCGCACACAACGCATTTTGTGCACCAGTCTTTTACGTCCGCCTTGCTCTTCACCCAGTAGAATCTTTCCCTCACTTTTCCCAGGATTTCCGAGATGACCTCCTGACACACTGGAATGGATTTCTTCTAACAGCTCCGGGATCGGACATCTGGGGATAACGATTCGCCTTCTTTCCTCTTTGCCATCGTGGTCCTCCATTTTACACAGAAGAGTCCGTCGTCCATAACTAGAGAATTCCATTGTGCCCAATATGATTTTATGATAATAAAATACTTGGCAACTTCTTCCCAGGCTGGGTTCTGTTGTTTTTTCATCCAGTTCACAATTATTTGAAGATCGGGATCGCCCTCTTGGTCTTTAATGAGGTCTTCGTTTTGCCAAGTATCACTAACGGTAGTGGTTCTTAATACTTGAGCATCTTTCTTCTCTGCCCGCTGGCTATCCTCTAAACAGCGTCTCCTAACGTGCCCGATTTTTCCACATTTCCAACATTCCAACTTGCTGTTCACGTTCACTATCAAGTTCCTTAACGATGCGCTTCACGAACTCTTCGAACTCGTTATATCCTTGTGCCATCTGGCGGACTCGGACCTGGCTATTATTTGTGTTTTTAGCGGCTTCGAATTCTAAGGCCCGAGCTAGCGCATCTACTAGCTTAGGTGAATTTGCTAGTAGTAAGGTTTGCCTCATTTCACCATCACGAAGTAAATCCAGGAATGCTTGAACTGCCAATCGCTCCATTATCCTTTCCTGGACATCGGGATATGCTAATAGTACCAACCGCGCAATATCCGCTTCGAACTCCTGCAAGGACTCGCCCGACTTCTGGAACCGATTCTTTAGTTGAGTATAGTAGACATGTTCTGAATGTGACTGGCCGTATCGCATCTCCAAATGACCTACTAGCTGTTCGTGGACCTCTTGCTCTTCGGGTGATATTCGTTGAAGAATAGCTGCAGCATCTCCTCGTAGGGCCAAAGTGACTGCAGTTGCCTTTTCGGTCGATGACCAACCATTTGCATTTGCGGGTGCCTCAAACTGACGCCGGTAGACATTCCAAGGCGTTGTACCATCAAATTGCGGCGGTTTCTTTCGCAGATGACCAGCTGACCCAACAGAAGCTCCAACCTCACTTGATTTTTCCATCGTAAGTCCACGCTGTCGTGCGTTGATGGTCTTGACGTCTAAAGCGGCAAACTTGCCTTGCACTTCTTGAATTCTGTCCTCCAGAGCTTCTAAAATCCGTTTTTCCAATTCACAAATTTTTTCCATAATTTCATCTTCCAAATCTTTTTTAAATTGGCGGTATTTTCCAAAAACTTCTCTTCTAATTTGGCTGTACTTTTGTGTAACTCCAAGAGTTTTTCTTCTAGATTGGCACAATTTTCCACGAACCTATTTTCTAACTTGGCTGAGTTTTCAACAAGATTAGCACAATTTTCCACGAGCTTTCCTTCTAGGTTGGCACAATCTCCACGAGCTTGTTTTCTAACTTGGTCGAAAGGTTTTGCAGCATTGAATCAATATCCTCTGCACCGGTAAAAATGAAAATATCCGGGTCCTCGCTTTCCTGAATCAGTGCTTTATGAAGCCGCTCCTGTAATTCCGCTTTCTTTCCAGCCGTGTCGCACTCTCTTTCCTCCAGCTCTCTTTTTAAATCTCTAATCGCGACATTCTTCCTTCACTGATCGTCCGATTTATTTTCACTAAATGTCCAATAATCCACAACCCACACCTGACACCAATGTAGCGTTTTTCTGGGTTCTTTTACGTGTGGATTAAAACACTGGATTCCACAAAAAGAAATGCACTAATTAATAAATTCAAATATGAAACGCAACACAACTAACTTTAACTTAACTAGAGAGAATATTTATGTACACCACTATTTATGTCTGACTACTTATTTACGAATTATTATGTCGCGCCATTCACTCAACACTGGTTCTCTCTTCTGGCCGTCGCGTCGGCTTATAACGGGTGATTTTTTAAGAGGTATAGGATTTGATTTTAAAAAAAAACACAAAAAATTTGAAAAAACGATTAAATCTTTATTTGAGTCGATAGAACGGTGGATATAATTTAATGTTTAAAGATTATTTCATGTAAATGTTGGCCGCGGCTCCGCTTTAGATGGCCCATGCGCAAGGTCCAATTTTGGCACACTCTCTCCAACATATCGGCCGGTATCTCACGAATAAATGCTTCAATATTGGCTTCCAGTGCGTCAATCGTTGCTGGTTTATCCCTGTAGACATTAGCTTTAACATGGCCCCACAAGAAATAGTTCAACGGCGTTTAATCACACGATCTAGGCGGCCAATTGACGGGCCCCAAATGTGAGATAAACTGTTCACCGAACTCGCCTCTCAATAGGGCCATTGTTTGGTGTGCGGTGTGGCATGTGGCACCGTCTTGTTGAAACCACATGTCAGCCAAGTCCAGCTCTTCCATTTTGGGTAAAAAAAAGTTTGTTATCATCGAACGGTAGCGCTCGCCATTCACAGTTACATTCCGGCCATTGTCGTCTTTGAAGAAGTACGGCCCGATGATGCCATCGGCCCATAATCCACACCAAACAGTGATTTTTTCGGGATGCATTGGTAGCTCTTGCAATGCTTCTGGCTGGTCTTCACCCCAGATGCGCCCATTTTGCTTGTTAACGTACCCATTCAACCAGAAATGAGCTTCCTCGCTGAACACAATTTTTCAATAAAAATGTGGATCTTCCTCCAACTTTGCCAGCGCCCATTCACCAAATGGGAAACGTTGTGGGAGGTCGTGTGGCTTCAATTCTTGCACCAGCTGTATCTTATAAGGTTTTACACAAAAATCCTGTCGCAAAATTTTCCACGTAGTGAAGTAACAGAGGCCCAATTGCTGCGAACGGCGGAGAATCGACATTTCACGGTCATCACAACACTGGCGGATACAGCCGCAATATTTTCTTCAGTCCTCACTCTACGTCTGAGTGTTGGTGGTTTAATGTCCAATAATGTAAACTGGGTTCGAAATTTAGTCAGAAGCTTCCGAATAGCTCCCTCAGTAGGCCGAGCAAATTGCCCATAAATTGGAAGCAGTACTCGATGCACTCTCTTAACCGAGCATGAATTTTCTTAGTAAAATTCAATAATTTGCAAGCGTTGTTCGTTCGTAATATTGTAGCAGTAGGCATACATCCTTGCTTCCAAAGTTTCACACCTTTTATTTTCGTGCTTCTATATGATGGATTTGAAGAAATAAATTCCATCACTGCATAAATATCAATTTTGGGCAAATTGTCTCTTTCACAAATCCGGCTTCCATAATCGTACGAACTTAACAGCTCAATAGTTATCAACCACGTGGCCGGGCGCACATCAGTGTCTTATGAAGTGTCTATATACTAATTATTACTAAACGTACAGACGCAAACATTTTGTAACGCTGCAACGCAACCGCGATACGACCGCAACTGATTCATCGAATTGTATACGTTTATATGATATTTTTGTTGAAAATATGCCTTGAATCATTGAATACGACGTTGCCAGTTGTGTGAGAGATTTTGTTTGTCTGTATTACTTCGGAAAATTGTATTCAATGAGCAAGAAAATTATTTTTATAGAGACAGTTAATTAATATATAGATGTATTGATACATTTTACGCTATAAGGCATATGAATTTAAATTATTAAAGTGCAAAATTAATTTATTTCATAAATAAAAAGAAATAAGTTCAGTATTTTTTTTGCTCCGAAACGGTTGATTTTCGGACATACGTTATAATGAACTTTTTTGCTTAGAATAATGCAAGGAATCACCTCTTATATGAATCTTATTTCCCTAACACCCTGTATATGGTAGCTTCTCAAGCTTCAAAATTTTAGTTCTAATTGAACCTATTTTGATGCAGCGTCTTTAAAAAAAATTGGGTTTCTGTAGGTTTACTACAATTTTCTAAAAAGAGTAACAATGGATAACGGTAGTGGGATAATTAATCAACAAAGATTTGAATCATTTTAATACAGTTATCACAATAGTAATAATCATACATTTTTAGGTAATTTTGTAACATTAGGTACTTTCGAGCTTTAGTGTAGAAGGTCCACTTTTGGTACTGAATTAATGCTGCTCACTGCAGGTTCGAAAATCCTACTGCTACTTGTACTGATATCGATATCAGAGTTCTGATCCTCACAATGATCTGAGCCAACCAAATCCATTTATGTGACTGGCATCACAACGAACGAGTTGGAAAACTGGAAATACATAATTACGCGTTGAATCATTACCATTATTCAACTTATGCTAGGTGAAATTATACCTATCCAGCTATTAAGAAACCTATTATGCGTCTATCGAAGAGAGAGACTAAACCAAAACAGTGATCATCGCATGAGCAGCGCGTGATCAGCACAGTGATATATACGTACATATTTCAAGAAGGGGAGTATAACTGTTATTAGGCAGAATCGCTCGAGCCCTTACTACAGAGCGAATGCAAAACCAGAAGTGTGGAGTGGGAGACGACACGATGATGGCAGCTCCGCCGGCTCGTGAAGTATGCGTGGATATGTTTTGTTTGGTCTCTTTCTTTGATAAACGGATAAAGGTCTATTCATTCTCAGCCGTGGCGTGACTGACAGTGCTGTGACCGGCACGTGATCCGCCCGGCGAAACGAAAAAGAGTCTTCCTGGAATTTGGATGAACTGATTCACACTAGACCGGCACGTGGAAGTGGCCGTGTTCTCAGTGCCGTCGACGACGCCGTACCGTGATCATCGCATTGTTTTGGAACGATATTTTTGATGTACTATATTTCGTCAAAAACATGAATGATGAAAAACTAATTGAATTTGTGCACGCACATCTTGTGCTGTAGAACCAGTCAAATTCAAAATACATGGACTTATGTTTTCTTCTTCTTCAAATTTTGCCATTTCGACCTCACGTGCACACAACTGCACTGTCAGAGCATGGCGAAAAATACTGACCGGTGTGAATTAAAAACACTGGGAGCTCACGTCAGCGAGAATCAGTGGCACGGCACGGCACTGTCACGTCACGGCTGAGTGTGAATGGACCTTTATAGGACCGAGAACGAAACAATGACATTTACTTCATTATGATGTCGTTGAGACGATTTTTTTGAGGTTATAAATACGTTTATTACTTAAACCGGTCCCACACGATGTGGCGAATGCCTTATAACGTTGGACACATGGCCATTTGCTACATCGATTGGGAGAGCGCTGACGGATTACATGTGTCCAACGTTCGCCACATGGCTCGTTCGGGCTCTTGTCGGTAAATTTCACCCGCGTCAAACGACGTTATTGCAACGTTGGAAGCATGGTTCGTTACGCTCCCACACGGGATATCATGTGTTTGATGGTTTTAGGTTAGAACCAGTAGCGGCGAAAAACGTTATTTACTTATTTGCTGTGATTGTGGTGAAGAAGTGATATGTGGGAAGTATTTTATTTGAATACCTACCTATTCATAATAATGTATGTTCCGTAGCTAACTTTTGAGGAGAATGAATTAAATTAGTATACTTACATACAAAGCATAGGCTGCCATAACAATACTTTTTTCATATTGCATATTTTGTACGTTTCGCAGGTGGGTTATGGCTGAACTAAAGACATGCATTTTAGTAAATTATAAATTATCAAGTGCTTACAATTGTTTCATTATAATGTCCTGGACGGAAACGATTAAATAAATGATAACGCTGAAAGTACTATCGGGATTTCGATTAAATTTTGAGCCTAGGTTACTACTATGAAAATGACGAAAAAGCTCTGCAGTTTTTGAAAATCGGTACAGTGGCGGCGGAGTCGAAAAACAAACAAAAAATGGTCAAACTTCGTTTTTCGTCATTTCTGAGGCTTCTGACAGACTTAAGTTTTGGTCTCTGGAGACAGATAGGAAATTATTTTTCGGACCTCGAGAAAATTGTTTCATCGTTCATTTTGTATAATTTTTCTTCAGTTGTAAAGGTTCAAGCGCGACACTGATACCAATAATAGACGTTGGCGCCACCATGCATCGCACGTCCGAGGCTAAAAAGTTCATCCCATCGTGTAGGGTGTCGAACGTTGTAAACAAAGTTGTACAGAAGGTTGTATACAACGTTGGAAGCATTGTGTGGGACCCGCATTATGCACGAAAACTCACGGTGGATTACTTACAGTACGGTCTGCTGCAAACTACACACTTTTCCTTATGATTATGACTATTTTCACTATTTTTTCTCAAACCAACTCGCTGTATATTAGCTGCTTGAACGCAACAAAACAAAGGTATTATTACAGTCAAATAAATATGTGGCTAAAAGAGACGTGATCGCAGCATGACCACTGCCGGGCGCAGAACGGCTGTCGAGAGGCATCAGGCTAGAACAGGGTGTAATTCTAAACTCTGAGTGTCCGATTTACACTTTCTGAATGATACACATTTTATTCGGGTAACAATATGTCCCACAATCATCTTGACAAACTTTGAGATATTAGAATACAAGTATGTCAATAAACAAAAATTGGGAACATATGGGCCTACCTGATTCACTTCTTTATTACAATTTCAATTTTTGTATAATGCTCACCAGATCTCATTCATTTGTTATAAGAATCTTGAGTAAAACGGTTAACTAGGTATTATTGTATCTAAGAGAATCGAAGAAGAATTGCAAGCGGCAACTAAGAATAAATCCAATCTACTGAATTTTTTTTCTAAGGTGAGTGACGAAATCATTTTAGGTAGGGGAAGGCGGGGCAAACCGGGTAGCGAGGCAAAACCGGGTAGTAGCCTTATTTCCATATCCGGTGGCGTCACCTGCAAGCCAACGCTCCAACTTACTCGTGACACTCTCACCAATTGGTGAAATAATTGCATGGCGTCAACATCGAAGCTTTCGCGAGTTTTTTTAGAAAACGTGTTTTTTAAGGCATGTGGTCTTATTTTTATATATTTTCATCGTTTCTACAGTCCACTAAGGACTATGTTGACAAAAGTTTTTTAGGTTTAGCATGAAACGCTTGTATCTGTAGTCAATTTATTTTTATAAAATATTATAGGTTATGTGTTTAATCTTTGGACTGATTTGTCTTAGAACTACACTTGAGGCAAAACCGGGTAGGGGCAAAACCGGGTAGTACCCGGTATTTATATGGTATTTTCCAGATATTTTTTTTCGAAATAAAACCTTGCACAACCTTTTGTTTTAGGCTGCATAATGGTGCGTAGCTACCAGCGAAAAACAAAGCGTCAAAGCTGGTTGGAAAATGACATGCTAAGAGCAATTGAGGCTGTCCAAAGTGGAACTATGGGGTACAAAAAATCCGCAGATACTTTTAAAGTTCCTCAAAGTACTTTAGAAGACCGTATAAAGAAGTTAAGAGGGGGCGCATTCTTGGAGAAAGCTGCTAGCAAAGGTAGGTACCTACCTACTATGTATTTTTGTATTAGCAAAAGAAGTTTTTTGTATGGTTCGGTCAAAGACAGTAAATAAAAACTATTTTTGGTTTCAGGACTGGGCCGATACAAATGTGTGTTTTCGCCTGAACAAGAAACACGAGCTAGCAGATTATGTACAGACCATGGAGAGCAGATTATTTGGACTAACCAGAATTGAACTGAGACGTTTGGCATATCAGTTGGCAGAGAGGAATAATATACAGCACAATTTTCATCACGAAATGGCAGGAGTCGATTGGCTGAAGGGATTTTTACGGCGGCATCAAAACTTATCAGTGCGAACTCCTGAGGCTACGTCTGCTGCGAGAGCAATGGGATTTAACAAAGTGGCTGTTGGACAATTTTTTGGTCTCCTAACAAAGTTAATGGATGACTATAATTTTCGACCAACACGAATTTACAACGTTGATGAAACGGGTTTAACTACCGTTCCTAAAAGTCAGTCCAAAATTATTGCTATGAAAGGACGACGTCAGGTGGGAACCCTTACCTCAGCTGAAAGAGGTCAGCTTATAACTGCTGTTTTGTGTACGTCAGCTGCTGGTCATTACGTGCCTCCATTTTTGATCTTTCCAAGAATGCGAATGAAAGAAGAATTACTCGACGGCACACCGGCTGAAACTGGTTACAGCTGTCACATAAGTGGATGGATGCAAACCCATATTTTTATTGAATGGATGCAACATTTTATAAAACATGTGAAACCAACAAAAAATGACCCAGTTTTGTTGCTTTTAGATGGACATGTAACACATACAAAGAATCTTAAACTGATAGATCTCGCTAAGGAGCACGGTATTATTATGCTATGCTTCCCGCCCCATTGCACACACCGTCTGCAACCTCTAGATGTCAGTTTTATGGGACCATTAAGCACGTTCTATAGCCAGGAAGTAAGGTGGTTAAGAACAAACCCTGGGAGGGTAGTCACCCAATTTCAAGTCGGCAGATTATTTGGTCAAGCTTACGCTAGAGCTGCAACTGTTCAAACCGCCGTATCTGGGTTTTCTAAAACGGGAATTTACCCATTAAGCCCTCAGGTATTTGGCGAGGCTGACTTTGCTGCTGCCGAGACAACTGAGCGAAGGCCTACAGATCCAGTAGAAAACAACGCTGATGAGCAAGTTTTAGAGCAAGAAGAAGAAGAACCTGTAGCCGGCCCTTCCTGTGAGACAACTGGACGAAAGACAACACATCCACAGAAATGCAATACTATTGAACAAGAACCGGTAGTCGGCCCCTCTCAACGCATGTCTAGGGAGACAACACCAGATCCAAACGTTTCAAGTGGATCAGCCAGGGAAAAAATGCCAGAAAAAAATCCAATATCATTAAATGAACCGAAACCTCCAATGAAGTCTGCATATTTGGCTGTGTCTCCCTAAGGACATAATGCCACTTCCTCAAAGCAACAGGCAAGCCATGACGACACAAAGGCGACGCGGTAAGACAGCAATTTTGACTGGGACACCATACAAAAAAGAACTAGAGTCCATATTACTGCAAAAAAGTGAGAAGGCCAAAGGAGTTAAGAGAAATATTGTTTCTAAATGTAAAGGTCAAGTAAAAAACAAGAAAACAAAAAAGTCTGCCGACTATACGAGCTCAGAAGAAGACGAAAAAAATAAAGAAAACGAAGTAGATACTACACTATGCGTTTATTGCGAAGAAATATACCCCATGTCCACAAAAACTGATGGCTGGGTAAAATGTACGTCTTGCAAAAACTGGGCCCATGAAGGTTGTACCGGTTGGTTGGATGAGGATTTGAACGAGTTCCAATGCGACACGTGTCTAGAAGCACTTTAAATCAAACTTTCAAGTATACCCGATTTTGCCCCACATGGCATACGGTTTTGCCCCTATGGTGGGGCAAAACCGTATTTTTTAATGTTATTTTTTAGTTACCAGAAGTTTTTTTTAATGTTTTGTAGGTTAAGTTTATGTATTAATGTTCAAAGTTTGTAGTTGAAGAATTTTTGGTTATAAATAAAAAATATTTAACGAGATACAATAGGTTTTCCTTAGCTACCCGGCTTTGCCCCGCCTTCCCCTACCTATGAGTACTAGAAATATTAGAAATCGGCAAAAAGTTTCTCTTTACTGATTAGAAAACGTTATGGCCTATCTCAAAATATAGAGGTAGTATTCATTATATTATATATTTATTTCTTATGATAGATTACGTCAACTGGTCACAAAGTACAGGATGTTAGTTTTATACATATATACAGAATTGCTCGTTTAAACATATTAGATTTAAAGCCATAGGGTTTTGTATTTACCATATATATTGCCATACTTTGTATTTATGTAGCTTAATAAGAGAATCTTTAGCAGAAGCCATAGAAAGTTTTTATTTTAAGGCAACCTGTAAACCTGCAGAAAAAACACAAATTATACAGTCAGCTTCAAATATTAAAAAAGAGGAAGAAGATAAAATAAAACCCGGTAATGAATCACAACAGCAATGCGAAATTAATGAAAATACAGATAAACAGAGAGCAAGACCTTCTCAGGAAGCTATGAAAAATAAGATTGCTTTACTCGAAAAAAATCTGAATGCTTTGTATTATGCCAGAGATAGTATGCCAAGCCGATCTGAAGTTGATAAACAGATCATTAAGTTGCGCGAGGAAATAAAAACAGCAAAACGCAGTTGGCCAGAAGAAACAGAATCAGATCAAGTATTTTTCATATCTCAAGATGATAAAGCTCGAGTCCCTATTGGCGTAACTGCGGCAAATAAGCAATCACCTCTTCTTATGCACATGGAATATAGAATCAAATGGCCTGATCACAATTGGGTAATCGCTGAGCGTCATAAATTAATACCATCTGTTTATGCTGGTATGAAAATCACTTCCAATATGCTAGGACAACCGCAAGCCGTTGGATATTCTGGACCAACATACATCGCTATTCGAAGTGGAAAGCATCTACTGCTGATACTCCTGCTCAGGATTTCGAGACGCTTCTCGAACCTGAAGAATTTCGACCATTAGCTAAAACTGACCATGGACTAGTAAAACCAGTGGTAATCATGACGGTTGATGGAGGGCCAGATGAAAATCCACGTTATCAAAAAGTCATTGGGTTTGCTATACAACACTTTAAGCGACATGATCTCGATGCATTGTTTTTAGCTACCAATGCTCCTGGAAGAAGTGCGTATAACAGAGTAGAGCGCAGAATGGCTCCTCTTAGTCGGGAACTGGCTGGTTTAATATTGCCTCATGACCATTTTGGGTCTCATTTGGATGAACGTGGCGTTACAATTGATGTTGATGATCATTTAGAAAGATCTAAGTTCGAATTTGCAGGAAATGTATTAGCTGAAGCAGTGGCTTAGCTAGAGCCTCGGGGGCCCTGGGGCAGCAAGATCTACAAAATCTACAAGAACAATCTAATAAAACTACTAAAAAAATTTCAATTGTTTCACTTTGAAAAAAAATATGTTCATTTGAAGTATTTTCAGGGGCCCCTGAAGTCTTCGCCGAGGTAAGATTCATTCAGAGCCAAAAAAGTCCCCCGACGAAAAAAAGGCCCCTGACGAAAAAAGGTCCCCGACGAAAAAAGGTCCCCGACGAAAAAAAGACCCCCGACGAAAAAAAAAGGCCCCCGACGAAAAAAAGGCCCCCTACGTAAAGGGGCCTCTTTTCGTCGGGGGCCCTGGGGCACCGCCCCGCCTGCCCGATGCTAGTTACGGCGCTGAGATGAAGTATGGAGTTCAATGGAAATTGATGGCTATAATGTTAATGCAAAATATGTTGGGGCAGGTGAACAAGATCTTCCTGATTTCCCAGGCATTAAATGGTATTCAGAACATGTGCGTGAGAGCCAATACTTGCTTCAAATTGTAAAATGTAGAAATACAGAATGCTGTCATCCAAGAAGTGGCATATTTAGATTACTAGACAATAGGTTTCTTCCACCACCTGTAAAAGTAAAACAAACAGTTGATGACTTGGTTTTGGAATTTAGCTCTACGCTTAAGTGCTTCACTCAAAGATTTCCTGCAAATGCCCTACGATTATTTTTGTCCGACGGTAAAATTGAGGCTATCAAGTCGAACATGCAAAACGTGAGGTCTTTATCATGCTTCCGTCAAGCCACTAAATCGTCACATCGAAAATATCCATAAAAAAGTAAACACGCACACTAATAGGAAACTTAGACCTGTAAGTGTCGCTGCTCGTCGTGCTAATGAACTGATGTGCATTATTCAAAATTTAGAGCACCATGATGTTGAATGGCTCGATGAGAACGACGTACACATTCCAAAATCCGATGAAAGCGAGCAAACTCACAACACTGAGCAGCAATCGAATGTCATCGAAAACTGGACTGGAGACTGTTAATTTCAATTTAATATATGTACCAAAAATTTAAAATAAGTTTGTTATGTTAGTAAGATATAATATTTTTGTCCTTTACTCTATGTTGAATACCGTATCAGTAAAATATAATCTCTATCCTAAATCTATTTTCTTATTTTTCAAATTATAATTATAACTTTATAATTATAATATTAAAAAAAACAATACATTAATTGGCACATGTTTACGTATGCATGGGGGGAGGGTATAAGAGCTTTGCTTACTTTTGCTGACAAGGGGGATGGGGGGGGTAAATAATTGTAATAAATCTGCTTACGTAATACTTGAACGGCCCCAAACGTCACAGACTAACACAAAAATGTCACTAGCTGATCAGCTGTTCACCTCAGTAGACGTCAAAGCGTGATGGATACTCGTGAGGTATGGTTTATGACGATGTGTATACAAACAGTGAGGGCTTGTTTGATTATTTTTAGCGGCTTCGAACAATTTCCCTAGAACGCGTAATCTAACTCTTATGCAGTAGTTGGGCTCATTCACCCAATTTCCGACTATAATCAAAATGAACATTTCAAGACAAATCCAGAACATTTGGCGCTAAAATGACTTACATGTGTCACTTGAATTCAGAAGCATTATTCGGCACACAGCTTACTACCTGTCTCGGAAGAGGTTGATTTCGCCATTTCATTCCTGTACAAGAAATTTTCCAACGCACTCAGAAATAAATGCGCATACATATTTGACGTAATTGTATTTTTTACTTCCCAGAATTCAGTACCATCATCGAGTACAGATTTAGCTGCGAATACGCGTCACCAATTGCGGAACATTTTCCGTTCAAATATGTTCTTGACCATCCTGAAGTTTTAAGTTTAGCAGGTCATGGTCAAAATCATACTTTGGTAGGGTATAATATGAAAATGTAACTTGGAAACCAGTATAGTCGTACAGGGAAACTATATCGAGACATTATTTTCATGATTTTTCCAGGATATCCAATGGTGACCTTGTATCTGACCTTGACAATGATGTCCTTCAAGGTAATGTAGTTTTTTGGGACCACACAGTTTAGTGAATTATCAACAAATTTAGGTAAACTTGTGTTTGACCTTGATGGTCAAGTTCCAAAACTGGTCAACGACATATTCGAACATGAAATTTTTCCTTTAATCCATTTCCGCGGTGCCTTTAGAAAAGAGTTGAGCTTTAAATGCCCTTGAAAGCAATTGCCAAGGTCACCAAAATCATAAAAATAATGTCTCGGTAATTTCCCTATATGACTACTGCCTGTTAAGTTATATCACCGCACCTGGCTTTGACCTTGACCTAAGATCCAAATTTTTGGAATGGCCAAGAACATAAACGTATAATTTTCCGCTATTTTCATTTACGGGGTCAAAAAAAGCGACTTGACCTTGACATTCTTGGTCAAATTCTACGGTCGAAGAGAAAAACTTCTATCAATCGGGAAGCTCCGTTTTTCTTGCCATTATCAATTCACAAATTATCGTGGGGTTCCGGAACGAAAATTATTTTTATTGCTTATGGTTTTATAATAAGGGCACGTTTACATCGAGCGCGCTTCGCTTGGAGCTGTGCGCCTCACTTCATGTCAAGCGAACCTCTATGCGTTCGGGTTCATTCATATCGGAGGCGCTTCGCTTTTCATACCTCGACTGTTATTAAAACACACTTTATATTTAAAGACGCATTTTCCAAGCATTTCACCATGGCTCCTTCACGAGTTAAGAAGATATTACTACTCGAAAGTATTGCGTTGAAAGTGAATAGAAAAAAACTAAAACGATCGTGGGTGCATGAGATTAATATATGTAGGAAATCGTTCGGAGAATTCTATCACCTCTATCGAGATGCCAGAAAATATCCAGAAAAATTTTATGAATACTTGAGGATGTCAAAGGAATCTTTCGACCTTCTCCTAAGCCATTTGGATCCTTATTTATGTGGGATTGGAACCAATTTCCGTGAAAGGATTTCAGCAGAACAACGTTTGGTTATAACATTGAGGTAAGCCAAAATAAAATTATAGTGTTTATGAAAAACTGAGTTTTATTTTATTAAAAAATACATTTGTCCGAATAAAAATGTTACGCGTTATATCCTGAAAAAAAACTTCGCATAGGGGTGTCCAATTCACTACCTTCAGATACATTGTGTGTGGTCGGATCCGGATGTGTTGACTGTATCGGTATGTGATGATGGTATGTATGATTGTCCGAAGCGGAACTTGAGGGAGCGGGGAAGGTAAAGACACGTGCCGGAGGTTGTCCACAAACATTTTGTGAAACTTCACTTTCATGCTCCTCAACTTGCTGAAGAAGCAGTTCCTGAAACTTTAATCTTAGACGTAATCTTCTTGAAGCAGGAAGACTCTTCATGTATGGCAAAAGACTCTTTAGGAACAAAAGATCATCATCATTTTCTTTAAGTGATTCAGACTCTAGGAGCTCAAGTTTCCGTTTTTCTAACATTATTAGTTCGCTATTGTCGTTTTCTGTTGCCAGTTGCTTCTTTCGCTTCTGCGCCCCCTTCCGAGTTTCAGAAGTAGAAGATAATCGGCTTGCAGACCTTGAAGGTGCTTGACTGCTGGTCGATGGCGGTGACAAAACATTGTCAGAATCTTGCGACTCTACGTCCTGTA